ATCTGGCTGTCAATATAGTCTTTTGAATAATTATATTAAACATATTACTACAAAACGTACCAAGAAGTAGAGAATAATACTATATTCGTGAACTGCAAATAATAAAACAGAAGTCCAAGAAGGCTAAAGTCTAAGCTGTAATTTACAATGAAGTGTCTACACTGAAACAGTCACAATGTACAAAAATGTTGACAAGTAATCCAGATGTTTACAAAAACAGATTCTGTTTGTCTCAGATTATATCCAGTTTCATCTGGTAGGTTTCTGATAGCCTGTTACATGAAATGTATTTCTCTCCTGCTGATAAGAAGCTGCTTAAAAATGTCCCCAAATTTCTTAAGAAGTGAGTCTACTTGGCAGTATTAGTAATTCCAGTTTCCTATTACATTCATTCGTCTGAGAACTGAAAATCTCGTAACTAAAGTGTTCTTCCATTCCTTTACCAACTTTTCAAGTTTTAAATTAAATCAAAGGAAATTTGGAATGTATTGCTTCTTGTCATCAACAGGCATTTCAAAAAGACAGTAACTAACCAAAATCAAGAGTTCTTTGGCCAAGTTATTAACAGGCTTCCACTTTGTTCTAAATCCTTTCATAATCCTTTTTTTTCTAATTTTTCCAATATGGCTTGGATCTTACAAACAGCCTCTTTCCTGGCTTGCCGGACAGAGTCCTGTCCCCCAGTTTCAACAGAATCCAGTTCCAAAAGTTCCTTTGTTAGCATTTCTTCCAGAAGCCAGTATGCTTTGTCTGTCTTTTTTCCTACAAATTCTTCTACTTCTTGCTCAAGATACTGGACCTTCTCCAATACATGTATGATTTTTTTAATACTTGGAGGAGTACCTTCATCTGAAGATAAACATTCTTCAGGAAGATTATTACTCTGATCTTGATTGCCAGGATGCTCATTGGTGGCATTACCATACAGTTGAGGCTCAGCACTATATTGGACTTGGGAATCCAAAAGGTCTGAATTATCAGTGTTCATTGTCCCGGAGGATTCATACTGATGGACACTGCAAGGAAAGTTGTGCCGGTTCATGCCTTGATCTTGGCTATAGGAGTATGAGGAATCCTTAGGATGGGAGAATAAAAAGAGGAAAAAAGCTATTTTAATAAGAATCCATCAATGGTACAATTTTTTAGCGCACATCTTTCACCTGACCCAAAAGTACATTACAAGAATTCCCTCCAATAAAACTGGACCACCCTTTTCAATCATTTGAGAAAAACACCATTTTAAGAAGATAAAAGGGAATGTCCTCTCACATAAAAAGAGAATTCCTGAATATAACAGAACAACCTTCCTTGAGGCACATTATCATCATGAACACCTTACAATACATTTTACCACTTCACAATCCATCCAGTGACTTACTAAATAAGAATTAGACAGTTTTTCCCTTTAAGATTTAAAACCTCAAGATCTTAAAAAGAAAGCAGACATAAACATATAATGTTCAAATCTATGGTTTAATTTAAAAGTATTAAACCATAGAAACTAATACTATAGGTATTTCACGTCGGTTTTTATCTTCTATCTATAGATTATTTGTGGTTACAAAATGCAGTTTGATTGTATTTAACATTTGGAAAGAATTACAACAAAGAGAAAATGAGCACTTTTATGTCTTTTAAAAATAGGATGTGAGCCTAAAATGTCTTTAAAAGTCTTTGGAAGGCTAAAACAGCAGGATCAACCTTGGCAACTTAGTAAGGCCCTCAGCAACTATTGAGACCCTGTCTTAAAAAATAAGAAAGGTTGTGGCTCAGTGGTAGAGCACTTGCCTAGCATGTGTGAGGTACTGCCTTCAATTCTCGGCACCGCATATAAATAAATCAATAATACAAAGACTTATTTACAAGGCCTCTTTAGATACCAACAATCGTGTTTCTGAAGAACAGTGTTTGATGACATTGAAAAAGCTAAAATTATAATATTAAGCAGAAAAGGAATGTAAGGTCAGAACAGATTTAAGTTTTATTAAAATATATAATTATATTTAATAGGCATCAAAGTAAAACTAGAAAAAAATATTAAAATGTTAACAGCGTCCCTATCTCCAGGTGGTGGGAGATAGGGACACTGTGAGATGAGGGTTTTTGGAGCTTTTTCTCTTGGGTATTTGGGACAGGACATACATCTGCCATCACTGTAGTCCTTCTTCTGGCACCGACCCCCCTGCTTTTCTCTGGGACGCTGCCCCTCTGCCATCAGAGACAACCTTATAGGACAATCAGGATGCTCCCAAGACCTTCCAACTCCACTGTCTCCCCTCTTGGTTTTTGCTCCCCAGTACCCACAGGTGCTCCAGTGTCTGGAAGCACCTGTCCTGGGCGGCCTGTCTGCGGTTTTGGGCCCCTGCCACCTGAGGCCTGCTTTCTGAGGCTCCCCTTTGATGCTCTGAGATAAACCAACACGCTTCTCATCCATCCTCCTTTGGTTCAGAGGAAGGCTGTGATGCCGCTTGAGACTCAGGGGTCTGAACCGACACCTGTTCCTCCCTACGGTGCACAGGTTCCTCTCCAGGGAGGACGCGTCTCTACGGGAGAAGGTGGCTCAGGGCACAGCTGGGGAGATGGACAGATGTGGAACAGGCCCCGCTGGCTGTGTGATTGTGAGGCCCAGTAAATGGGCCTCTCTGGGCCTCCATCTCTTCAAGTCAGAGAGGTATTCCTGTTTCACGGGGAGCTGCTCTGAGTCTCAGGAGTGATGTTGAAAGGAGGGTGCCTGGCCAATTGAAGGCCCGGAGGAAACGGCGTCTGAGAGCTCTCCACTGCACAAATATGGGTCTGTTCATCCAACACAAAAAGGCCAAGTGCCCAGAGTGCCTGGCCCTGCACTGAGGGCTGGGATCAACAGTCAGCTGGACGGCCACTGCCACTGCCCTTGTGGATCTCAGGCTGGTGGGAGATGACAAATAACAAGCCAGAGACAAGGACTAAAGCCGTTCCAAATGGTGCTAAGAGTCCTGTAGGAAACAAGGGCTGAGAAACCTGACACGGTGGAGAAAGAACGCGTCTTAGATATGGTGGGGAATGTGGGGGGGCCCGGAGCAGAGGACGCCTGGTGGGGGCTGACGCTCCAGGAAAGGAGGGTGGGGAGTGCGGTGGATGGAGGACGCGGGCAGGCTGGAAGACCAGGCCCAGGAGAGTGTGCACGTATTTTTCAAAGGCAGACCATTCAGATAGGGCTGATTCGGTCCATCTTATGAAAGTCCTCATCCGCTCTGAGTAGAACTGACATTCGCCAGAAGGTTAGGTCACACTAAGAGTGACATTAGGAGTCCTGAGCAGAAATTCTAAGGTGGCAACAATGGAAAAAGAGCAACAGACGGATGTCGGCTTCTTTCTGAGGAACAGAATTCACAGGACACAGAACACGGCACGGGGTGAGAGGAAGGTATCAGATGGACCCCACCTCCAGCCCTCCGAGGCAGGCAGACAGACTGCGAACCCGAGAGGGAAGGGCTGAGTCTGCGGGGGAAGATGGAGGGAGGGACATGGATGGCTGACCCCCAAATGAGTTATAAATCCACAGGGATGGCTGGATGAAAGCCATTTAGCAATCTTTCTCCTATAAACTCAGTGTGTCCTCTATACAGTCTTTCACATCAGTGGATTCAACCCACCACAGATCAGAAATATTCAGGAAGACAACTGTCGGCACTGAACAGCACTGGGTTTGCCTGTCACTCCCAACGACACGGCCTCACAGCGCTCACGACTGCATCAGGCACTGAGTAGGTGAAAGACGGTTCCCGGTGCACAGGGTTGTGCATGGGTTATGTGCAAATACGAAGCCACTCCACACAAGGGACCTGGACTCCTGCAGACCTTCATGGTGGGACTCCTAGAGCCAGACCTCCAAGGGATGACGGCGCTGGCGACAACCCGACCACCCAGTGGGAGATGGAAGCATCAGCCCCACTTCTCAAGCTCAGGGGTGGGTCAGCGCCACCTGGCAGGCTGGGAACACCGACCACAATGCCACTCAGAAGGTCTGGTGTGGGCTAAAAAATGTCAACCTCTCTTGGGGGTTTCTGCTGTACTGGAAAGAGTGGCCCCAGCCTTCACCCCTCATCCATGCCCACCAACTGTGGGACACCCCTCCCTGGGCTTAACTAAACTTGTGCCCCCAAAATGTTAAAAGAGGGGCCAGGGTAAAGAATGTTTTACCCTCAAGTGGAATGTTGAGAGGAAGTGGGCACCGAATGGTCACATGCTGGAGTAACTGAGCCCCTCCCCACCGGGGAATACAAGGTGCTTAATACTGGCTGATTGTGCCAAGGCAGTTTCTGATATGCAGCAGGAGACTATAGAGATGCTCAGAACTCGTGCCTGAGGGTCTGAGGGCCCTAGACAGGGGGAGGTGTGGGCTGGAAATCCAGCCTCCTTGTGGGGAGCCGCTGCACGGACACCAGGGCAGGGTCAGGCCCTGCATCTCCCCATGCACCCCCATCCTGGCACCAGCACCCTCCTCCCGGGCAACAGAGCTTTCCTTGGGGCTCAGCACCTGCAGCTTCCCAATTTCCAGAAAAATCTCCATTTCATTTGATTCTCTCTTCAACAAGGATAAAAGAGTGTGTAGCAAAACAAACTCGAGCCATTTCCCCTCTGTCAGATTCTTCATGTACAGAGGTCCCAAGCCCCCAACCCTCCCCAGATGCGGTTCTCCCCGCCATCACCTCCTTTACAGGCCTCACAAATGATGCTGCCCATTGGTTGGACACCTTCCCACCCACTCCACGTGGAGATGAGGTTCCATCCAGATCACGGTACAGAATTTCAGGCTGGTGCTGGAGAAGGGACCTGGTACCACAAGAGTCTGCCACCCTTCCTAGGGGACATGCCCATCTGGCAATCCTGCCTGACACCCAGGCGAAGGGCCCAACCAGAGCGAGACGCACGCCTTACCTTCTCGTAAGGACAGTACTTGAACATCTTGATGGGGCTTGTGCAGATGAAGACATCGGTGCTGCCAAGAAGAGAAAGGACAGTGAGCCCGTGGCCCCGCCTCTGCTGGACCCTCTGACCTCTGACTGGACCCTCTGACCTCTGACTCCTCTGCTGTCAGCTCCGAGTCCTGCATCCACATGGGAAAACCCCACCGCTCGGCACCGGATCCACATAAGAAACATCAGCTTATGTTTCTGGCCCCACCTGATGGCTCTGGGAAGCCACCAGTGACCCTACTTTGGCCACCAGCCACAAGCTCGGGGACAGGCTTCGGACTCCTGCAATTTTTGCTGGACAGGACTCAAAAGCTTAGCCACCCCAATCAGGCGCCACCTCTAAAATTTGCATAAGGAAAAACAGAGAGGCATGTGGCCACAAGGTCAGCAGGAAAAGGACAGAGAGAGCTGGGAGTGCAGCTCAGGGGCAGTGCGTGAGCTTTGCATCCTCGGGATTCAGTACCCATCCCCAGCACACATGTGCGCGCGCACACACACACACACACACGCACGCACACGCTCGAAGATGCAAAACCCACAGTTGCTTGAGGGAGAACGGGGGCCTCGTGCAATGCAAAAGAATAAGCAATGTACCAGGAAGAACTCCAAGAGCCCCTGCAAGTTCTCTGGTCCTGTTAGGCAGGTGGGGAGCCCAGCTCTACCTGCACTGAGCTGTCAACATGTCAAGACAGATGGAGGCTCTCCACAAGGAACCCCCTGCCCATGGTCACTGTTCTGAGCTGAATTCACAGGGGATGACGCTGCCCCGGAAGGGCCTTCCAGGCACCTGCTCCTCCCTATACCTGAGCCCTCTGATCCCAAACATCCTCGTAGAGTTGGCATTCGTTGCTGGCCCCTGCCGGCTCATCAGACTGAGCTGTGGGGACTTTTTTCAGCTCTTTCTCTTTGGCAAATTAGTCCCCTGGGCGTCCCGTGTAAGCCTGCCAGGTTCCTGCGCCCTCTCATTACTGCAATCTCCTCGATTCTTGGCCCTCCCTCTGCCAACCTGGCTGTCCCCTCACACCTGCTAGGACACCGAGCACTCAGTCTCTGCCCTTTGGTTCTCACCTCCGGCCTCTGTGGGGACTGTCCTGCCTCCCTGCAGGCCTGGGTGAGGGCTGGCTTCTCCTTAACTCCACAGGGGAGGTGAGGAGAGCGTCTTCCCTCCTCTCCATCGCTCCTGTGTCAAAGGGCCTCACGCCCCGGTGGTCCTGCCTACCCCGTCACCTGCCACTTGCCAGGTACCGTCCTCCCCGTTCCTCCCGAGCCCCTCTCCCCCTACTCTGTCATCATCCTCAGTGACCCTGCACACGCGCACGCATGCACACACACACACAAACACACACATGTGCAAATCCAACAGCTTGCCTTTCGGTGGTGCCCAACCCTTCTCACCACCAGCCTCCTCCCCCACCCAACCTCTCTCCTGCCCATCACTGTCTACAGCGCAGACTCGCTTCAGCCAACACCTCAGTCTCACACTTGGCCTTTCTGGTCACCACTCTCGATGCTTCTGGAAAACATACACTAACAGCCTGAGCCCAGCTCTTCAGACTCAACCAGAGAGACAACCCGCTGCGGCCCCCCCATTTCTGCATGACCTCTGTCAGCTCGGTGTCCCCTCCTCTCCCCTGCTTGCACTCTGAGGCCCATCTCTACCATCTCTCTGCCTGTGTTTCTCTTGCTCCACTGAGATCTGTTTTGCCAGACCCTGAAAGAATCCAGCTGTCCAACTTCTAACACCAGCATCCAAGCAATCGAAGGTTGCTGGAGGGAAAAAACCAAACCAACTGTTGGAACAGCTCCACTGAGCACTCCAGCTGAGGGCAGCCTTCCTGTGGAGCCGCCATGGGGGCAAGGCTCCCAGCGTGGCCAGAACTCACTTTTCCTGTTCCTCACCTCCTCACCCACCCTCCCTCCTCTCACCAGCCCCCTTCAACTCTGAACTCTAGCCTCATCTGCCCAAAGACTTTGTCCCTGTAACATCCCCCCTTTCTCTCCTCCTTCTCAATCCAACATATTCTGGAACCTCCTCCTTAACCTCCTTGACTTACCGCAAGGTTACGTCCTGACAGGCCCACGATGAGTTGAAAACCTCAGTAGAAAATGCCTTTGATGCACCCACGCTACCACACCCTACTCTTAATACACCCACTGCACTACGGCTTCTACTGAATGGATGGATCTTGCTTTCGCGCCACTGTCAAGTCAAAAGTCCTAACTGAACCATCTGTGAAACTAAACCTTGGCCCGCATCCTCCCTCCAGTTACCGCATCTGCTCCCTTGGTGTATAACAGACCCAGCGCCCTGCTTTGCTGCAGCCTCAAACGTCCTCACCTCCTGCCCCTGCTGCGACCCACTCCAGCCTGAGGTCAATCCCTCCACTCCACAGAAAGTGGTCACTGTCATCAAGGACCCTTGAGTCCCCCGTGCGTGGCACACTGCACACCCTTCGCCTCCCTCACCAGCATTCTACCCCATCTTTGCCAGCTCTCTGGGGTGCTCCACCAGCTCCAGTATCCTCCAGGCCTGCAGCTTTAATGCCACCTGTAGGCTGGCACCTCCCAGGCTCTCCCCGCACCAGCTTCCAGTCCTTCTGGACTATTAAACAGCCCCACCTGGACACCATGCATCTCAAAATTGGCAGTTCCAAAGTAAACGTGGGATTTCCCTCACCTTCCAAATCTGTCCCTTCCCTGGTATTCCTCTAGCTAACAGCACTAAAATAAATGGCACTGTATTGGTATACACATATGCTAAAGAAAAACCCTGAAAATCACCACTTTTTCCTACCTTTCTTCCACCCCCAGTATTATAACCATCGCCAAGTCCTCTGGGCTTTACCCACATGGGTTTCAGCCCAATAGCTTCTCTCTGTGGCTGTCAAGCACCCAGGCCAAAGCACCCTCTCCCCAGTGAGCTGCTGTAAACACTCACTAGTCCCTCAATTTCCAATTCTGACCTTTCCAGGTCATTCTCCATCTCACAACCAGAATGACTTTTTTTTTCTTTTTCTTTTTTTGAGATGGACTTTCGCTACACTGCCCAGGCTGACCTTGACCGGGGTTCAAGTGATCCTCCCTCCTTGGACGCCTGGAACTACCATCACGCCTCACCACACCTAACTTGACCGATTATTTTTAGACAGTTTTATTGAGGTATAGTTGACATGCAGTAAACTGCACAAATTAAAAGGGCACAATTTGATAAGTTGTGGCACACGTACACACCCACAAAACACAGGACTTCACTATCAGGGTAATAAACACACCCTGTACCCTGAGCATTTCCCTTAGTCATCTCTCCCACCTGCCCCGCCCACGCCTGGGCCCCTGCAACCCCCAACAGCCTACAGCTACAGATCAGATGGGATTTTTTTAGAATTTTATGGAAGTGGAAACATCGAGTATCATTCTTTTTTTTTTTTTAATCTGGTTTCTTTCGTCCAGTAAAATTGTTCTGATATTCACCCATGCTGTTAAAAATGTGTCCAAAGATTGTAAGTTTTTCAAAATTAAACAAACTGATTTTTTTTAAGTTTTATTAAGATATAATCCCTATATCATAACACCCACTTTAATAGCTAAATGAACTTTAGTGTATTTACAGAGTTTTACAACCATCACCACAGTCTAATTTCTAGGATATTCTGATCACTGCACAAATAAAACTTACGTCCATTAAACAGTCACCTCCCACTCCCTCCTCCTGGCCCCCTGCTTTGTCTCTAAGGATTTGCCAACCTGGGACATTTCATATAAGTGGAATCACTCACTGTATGTTCTTCCTTCTCTTAGCATGTTTTAAGGTTGCTCCGTGTTACAGCATGAATTAGAACTTCATTCATTTTTATAACTGAATAATATTCCACTTATGGATATACCATGTTTAGTTAGCCTATTCACCCACTGATGGGGACGTGGGTTGCTTCTTTTAGATATTACGAAGAGCACTACTGTGAGCATTTGTGTACAGTTCTGCACTAACAGTTTCACTGCTCTTGGGTAATTACCCAGGAGTGGAATCACAGGCTCATATGGTAATCCTGCACTTAATGTGTTAAGAGACGGTTTGCCAAACTGTTTTGCACAGTGGCTGTGCATTTTACATTCCCACCCACAACATATGAGGGTTCCGAGTTTTCCACATCTTCTCCCACAACTGGTACCATCGTCTCTCCTTAGTGGGTGTGAAGTGACACCTCACTGTGGGGTCTCAGGTTGTTTGGTTTCTGTTTCTGCAGTGCTGGGGACTGAGTCCAAGGCTCTGTGCATGCTAGGCAATGCTCTATCACTGAGCTACACCCTCCGACGTCATTTGTGGTTCTAACTTGCATTCTCCTGATAATGAGTGTCACTAAGCACGATTCCGTGTACTTACTGGCTCTCTGTAAATCTTCTCTAGAGAAATGTCTATCCACATTCGTTGCCCTAAACCCACAATTTTAAAACCTGTGTCAGGTCACAGCACTCTTTCCTCAGTCTCCTCCTCTGCCACTGTCATCCTACTCCCCCTACCACACTCACTAAAATTCTAGCTGCCCTGGTCTCCTTTATGTCACTCAAATCACTCAAATAAGCAAAATCCTTGCCCATGTCAGGGCTTTCACGCCTGCTCTCCTCTTGGCCTGGAGTGCTGGCCCTGACCCTTCGCTGGCCTATTCATTCTCAACCTTCAGGTCTGAGGTCAGATGTCAGCTCCTTGGAAAAATCATCCCACCCCACCCGAAGCAGCCCCTTCCCCATTTATTCTTCAGCACATGGCAATCTGAAATTGCACTTGCAGTTGTTCACGCTGCCGTCTCGCCACTGTGATGTGAACTCCCTGAGGCCTGAGACCTTAGGGGTCTTACCCACTAACACATCCCCAGTGCTGGTGCCATGCCACCTAGTAAGGCAGATACCAAGTCATTAAAAATGTGTCTGTCTAGGGAATAAACTGCCTCTTATTCCAGGCTCCACAATGGAGTAACAGGTGTCATGCTCAAATTGAGGGTTTAGACATTTATCTCTCCAAATGAGT